TTAATTATTCATATTTCCCCATGAGCTGATTCGCTACAGTAATAATATGTGACCCTGGAGCACAAAACCATAAGGGTCAATTTTTCGAAATTGAGATGTGTGCATCATCTGAAAGCTGAATAAATAAGCTCTCCATTGATGTATGGTTTGTTAGGATCGGACAATATTGAATGCAGCCCGTGGAGTCAGAGCACAGCTGCGCCGCAGGACAGGCCGCTCGCAACGCTCTCGCTGGAAGCTCAAACTGACATGCTGGAGACAGAGCAGCTGTCAGAGACGCCTGTCTGCACACGGACCAGACCCTCAGCTCACTGACTATATGAGGGCAAGAAAACAACATTTAACAGAAGAACCCACCATAAACACACACACACACACACACATGCAGTCTATACAAGCAATCCAGATGAATGCACAACTGAATTAAGAACTAAAATCATCTGCACATGATCAGCCATTACGACACATTTCACATATTTGGGCTGCAAATTGAAGGAAAATGCATTTCTGTGTCATGAGTCAGGTGGAACATCCTTATCAAACACCGGCACTCTGCTAGACGAGAATAAAAGAATCAAATATATGTATTTGTGACCCTGGAGCACAAAACCAGTCATAAGGGTCAATTTTCTGAAATTGAGATGTGTGCATCATCTGAAAGCTGAATAAATAAGCTCTCCATTGATGTATGGTTTGTTAGGATCGGACAATATTTGCAAATCTGGAATCTGAGCGTGCAAAAAAATCTAAATATTGAGAAAATCATCTTTAAAGTTGTCCAAATTAAGTTCTTAGCAATGCATATTATGCACAAAAATTAAGTTTTAATATATTTACGGTAGGAAACTTACAAAATATCTTAATGGAACATGATCTTTACTTAATATCCTAATGATTTTTGGCATAAAAGAGAAATGTATAATTGTGACCCATACAATGTATTGTTGGCTATTGCTACAAATATCCCCCAGCGACTCAACACTGCTGCTTCCCCTAAAACATCTCTTTTGCACAATTTCATGTGCAGTATTTATGTAAAGTTATTGTACACCAAGAACTCCTGTATAACGGTTGCCTTATTGATTGTGTTATTTGTGATCTCTGTTTGCAGATGATTGAAGTCATAAACTATAAGTGTGATCTTGTGAACTACAGTTACGGGGAGGCGACGCACTGGTCAAACTCAGGGTGAGTCTCTCACTGCAAAATACACGGCCGAAGTCAAGTCACGTGTATTTCTGTAGCTTTTATTCTCATCCGATCGTGTCACTGCAAAGTTGACTAGTTGCTGGATTGTTCAAACCACTTGCTCGATGGAACGTTATGAACTTTAAAGGGGTCCTATTGTGCTTTTTCACTTTTTCAACTTTAGTTAGTCTGTAATGTTGCTGTTTGAGCATAAAGAAGATTTATTTTATTTAACAGAAAGCACTTTTCAAAAACTACAACGAACGACTTGTTTGGACTACAACGCATATTTTCCGGGATTTGTGACATCAATAATACTGACGAATGGGATGAGACCTGGTTGAGCTGCACTAGAGAAGGCAACGAGTGTTATCACGGTGTCGGAGACCCAGCTGACCAGTCGCCGCACACCCCGGCCCAGCTGACCGGTCGCCGCACACCCCGGCCCAGCTGACCAATAGCCGCACACCCCGGCCCAGCTGACCAATAGCCGCACACCGGTCGTCGCACACCCCGGCCCAGCTGACCAATAGCCGCACACCGGTCGCCGCACACCCCAGCCCAGCTGACCGGTCGCCGCACACCGGCCCAGCTGACCGGTCGCCGCACACCCCGGCCCAGCTGACCAATAGCCGCACACCCCGGCCCAGCTGACCAATAGCCGCACACCGGTCGTCGCACACCCCGGCCCAGCTGACCAATAGCCGCACACCGGTCGCCGCACACCCCAGCCCAGCTGACCGGTCGCCGCACAAATAATGTTTTTCGAACAACCTAGTATGAGAGCCTGTACTAGTACACCTCTAAAACAAAATCAAGACTTTGTAAAAGAGCATAATAGGACCCCTTTAATGACATTGATTCACGTCTGTGTGTTCTATTTTAGTATAAATATAATATTTAAATTTTTTCTATTCTATCTACTTGTTTTTCTTTGTTTGTGTGTGTGTGTATTTTATATATATATATATATATATATATACACACACACACACCTTGCTACGTGTACTGCGTTAGGCTAACCGAGACTTGTCATCTGCACTTATATATTGTTGCTCTTTTGTTGGTTTTGATTGCTTCTGTTGTCCTCATTTGTAAGTCGCTTTGGATAAAAGCGTCTGCTAAATGACTAAATGTAAATGTTCTTCAGGAGGATCTGTGAGGTCATCACGGAGGCTGTACAGAAGTATAATGTGTTGTTTGTGTCGAGCGCTGGGAATAACGGCCCGTGTCTGTCCACCGTGGGCTGCCCCGGAGGAACCACCAGCAGTGTGATCGGTACCGGCCTGAAACACACTTCTTCACTTCATTATATCAATATTGCCAAAGCATCACACCTGAACAAGCAATGACAAGAAATATCAATAACTAACGACAACTTAAGAATAACAAGATCTGCACATGATTTGCAGACAAAAAGTAATTCAGTTAATTTGTGCCATTGTTTTAGTTAATTAAGATTTTTACCTTCATTTTAGTAAATTGTGGCCACATCATTCTGCGATTTACTAAAACAAATGAATCAATTGTGACCCTGGACCATAAGTGAAATTGAGATGTATGCATCATCTGAAAGTTTAATAAATAATCTTTCCATTGATGTATGGTTTGTTAGGATCGGACAATATCTGAAAATCTGGAATCTGAGGGTGCAAAAAAATCTAAATATTGAGAAAATCATCTTTAAAGTTGTTCAAATGAAGTTCTTAGCAATGCATATTACTAATCAAACATTAAGTTTTGATATATTTACGGTAGGAGATTTACAAAATATCTTCAAGGAACATGACCTTTACTTAATATCCTAATGATTTTTGGCATAAAAGAGAAATGTATAATTGTGACCCATACAATGTATTGTTGGCTATTGCTACAAATATCCCCCAGCGACTTAACACTGCTTTTGTGCTGCAGGGACACAATTAGTATGATATAGCCACGATTTCCCAAAACAGGGACAAATTAATACGGCGTGACCATGATTTTTCCCAAAAAGAGGGAACAAATTTTTTATTTGTGGCCTCTGTTTAATAAAATGAGGGTTGAATTAGTACAACTTGACCACAATTTACTAAAACGAAGGAACAAATTAGTACAATGTGGCCACAATTTAGTACAATGAGAGAACAATTTAATATAGCATGACCACAATTTACTAAAACTAGGGAATGAATTGGTACGATTTACCAAATTAGTATGATTTGTCATGATTTACCAAAACAAGGGAACGCATGTATAAAATAGACATTTATCAAGACATTATGAAGAAGAAGAAAATATATACACTACCGGTCAAAAGTTTGGGATCAGAATGATTTTTAATGTTTTTTACAGGAGTCTCTTCTGCTTTGAAACTTTTATTCAGCAAGGATGTGTTAAATTGAAGTGATGGAAATATTTATATCGTTAGAAAATATTTATATTTTGAGTAAATGCTGTTGTTTTTAACTGTTTATTCATCAAAGAATCCTGTAAAAAGTATCACAGGTTCCAAAAAAAAAATTTGGCAGCCAACATTGATAATTCTAATAATAAATCGGCATATTATACTGATTTCTGAAGATCATGTGATGCTTTGTACTGGAGTAACGATGATGGAAATTCAGCTTTGCATCACAGAAATAAATTATATTTTAAAGGATATTAAAATGGAAACCATTATTTTATATTGTAATAACATTTTGCAAGATTGCTGTTTTTTTTCTGTATTTTTGATGAAATAAATGCAGCTTTGATGAGACTTCTTTAAAAAACATTACAAGTCTTACTGATCCCAAACTTTTGACCGGTAGTGTATACTTGATACCTTAATTATATTGAAGGCAGCATTAGGGAATTCCCTCATGTTTAGCCACATCATGCAGTCAGAAAGCACTGGTTTGATGGTTGCTGATGTGCAGGTGTGGGCGCTTACGTCACGCCGGACATGATGATGGCCGAGTACTCTCTGAGAGAGAAGCTTCCTCCGAACCAGTACACGTGGTCGTCCCGCGGCCCCAGTACAGACGGGGCTCTGGGGGTCAGCATCAGCGCCCCCGGCGGAGCCATCGCCTCCGTGCCCAACTGGACGCTCCGCGGCACGCAGCTGATGAACGGCACCTCCATGTCCTCTCCGAACGCCTGCGGAGGAATCGCTCTGCTGCTCTCAGGTACAGATGCAGCTCGGCCCGTTTGAACCAGAATTATCAAGCTTATACTAGGGTAGGGCTGCATGATAAATCGCAATCGCAATCACGTGTACCACACTTCAGTATTCAAGATTGCAAGTGTCATATTGATTTAATAAGTTCACATTTAATTCCTTGTAAACACCGTTGCTTAGGTGAAGGTAAACAATTGAGAAAGAAAATGTGAAAATTTTGTAGCTTTAACAGATTTAATTTATACAGTGGAGACTTTGCAGTGTTATTTTACATTTGATTATTAAATTTCTGTCCTCTCCGAACGCCTGCGGAGGAATCGCTCTGCTGCTCTCAGGTACAGATGCAGCTCGGCCCGTTTGAACCAGAATTATCAAGCTTATACTAGGGTAGGGCTGCATGATAAATCGCAATCGCAATCACGTGTACCACACTTCAGTATTCAAGATTGCAAGTGTCATATTGATTTAATAAGTTCACATTTAATTCCTTGTAAACACCGTTGCTTAGGTGAAGGTAAACAATTGAGAAAGAAAATGTGAAAATTTTGTAGCTTTAACAGATTTAATTTATACAGTGGAGACTTTGCAGTGTTATTTTACATTTGATTATTAAATTTCTGTACCTGTATTTCATTTGTATCCGTGTTCTATTATATTTATCGGTGCTTGTAATTTGTTTATTTTCTATGCTGATTTACTCGACTACAAAATCACCCCAATAATTTTTCACCCCAAGTCATCTGGTGATTTTTTTATGTTTTTTTTTTTTTCATATCGCAATATATATCGCAGAAAAATTAAATATCGCAATGTGAGTATTTTTCCAATATCGTGCAGCCCTAATTTTCCTCTGAGGTGATATGTGCCAACTTAAATGGACTTCCAGGGTATTTTTTTAATCTTTTATAATGGCAATGTTTTCCGAACTTATGACATGTTTGCTTCTTGTATGCATCTAATTCCTACATTTTTAATCAATGTAATTAAAATAATTAAAAACTCTTATCAATCAAATCTTTGCACTGCAGAAGCTGCACAAAAATGGGAAAGTGGCGTTAAGGTGTATTTACACAGATCGTTTGTTAATGCTATGAGATTTATTTTTTTATTTTTTTAAATTAGACCTTTTATTTAATTATGAAATGATACTAGAAAAATAAAATTATCATTTTAATTTTGAAACTGTAACCACCAGTAGGTGGCGGCACATCTTAATGAGTGAGTCATTGAATTATTCACTCAACCGATTCATTCAGCCACAGAATCGTTCACTAAAATTATTTATTTAAAACGCATTCATTCAGTGTGTTGTTCAGAGACAGAAGAGTTCTGCTGTAGAAATTTTCTTAACAAAATAAAGCAAAAACGTGAAAAAAACCCCCCTCAAAATGTGAACTTATTAAATCAATATGACACTTGCAATCTTGAATACTGAGGTGTGCGTGTGTGTGTGTGTGTGTGTGTGTCAGGTCTGAAGCAGAATGGCGTGCGGTACACGGTGCCGGCGGTGCGCAGGGCTCTGGAGAACACGGCTCTGAAAGTGGAGGATATAGAGGTGTTTGCACAGGGTCACGGCATCATTCAGGTACCGAGGAGCGGAGCAGTGATGCTCATTAATTGCTAATGCTTTCATCACGGTATACTGTATTATCACGGTATTGAAATTTAGTTGTTAAAGTGTTGTCGTAATACAGTATAACAGGTTTAATGACTTTTTTCTTATAACAAAAAGAACTGAACATTTACATACAATAAAGTAATACACAAAGTATAAAGTAAACTTAAAAGGCCAATAAGTAACAATTTACAATAAGATCTCATTAGTTAACCTTAGTTAATGCATTAACATTAATAATGCACAATAGCTACATTTGTTACAGAAGTTATTAATCTTTGTTTAAAATAAAACCGTTAGTTCATTAAGTAACAGTTGCAACTTTTTATTTTAACCATGTGTTATTAAATTTTGAAATCATTGAGAATTCATTCACGAAGAAGAATTTTCCATTGAGGGTTTGTTTACGAATGAATTAACTAATGTTAATTAATAGAGCCTTAATGTAAAGTGTGACGGAGCAATAAAGAATCATAACATTGTCAAACAATATCTAGGGCATGTTGTAATCCAGATTAAAATTCTAAAAAAGTTTGAAAATAAATAGCCTATTAAGTCTAAATATTTAAGTATTTGGCGCTGTGATAAAAATCTGAATGGCTATTTAAACTAGGGCTGGGTTTTGACACAAATTTCACGATGCGATTTGATTCTCATTCATAATCTTTCGATTAGATTATTTTGGATATGTATCAGGTACAGTACATGCACAATTAATGCTGTAAAATACACCTGAGAGTCAGTTGGTACTACATTACTATAATATTGAAGGCTAAAATTGACTGATTTGTAGGCTATACAACTGCTAAAATTTTAAATAATAAAGTTACAATTACATAATATTTCTACCTCAATTCGTTTTTTTTAAATATAAACATTTTAAATGGTGACCGCCATAAAAACTTGATGGATTTATTCAAACATAAATTAAACATTGAAGAACTCTCTACAGTTTATTTTTCTGTCTGACTAATGATTTTATGGTCACCTTAAAATACAAATCTTTGTAATCCCAGGCTATCTGTAATCAGAAGCACATTTATAACTGGAATATAATTTAATTTCATTCACATGTGTTTCATAAACACACAATCCTTTCTGGATTGCAATCCGCCATCAAAATAAATGTAATTATTCCGGCTGCTGTGAGAAAAGGTTATAAACGATCCGCCACCTGCAGGATCCTCACATGCGTTAGCCTAGTAGCCGGGACTACTACTATGTTTACAGATGTGACGTAATGACGCAGTGCCATGCTCGAATATCCCGTGAAAACCTACCCGTACCACTCAAACTAGAAAACATTATTATAAGCTAACCGTTGTGAATCGGGCTAAAGTAAGGTGATAGGTTTGAACACTGGCTGGTTATGTACTTGCTCAAATATTGATTTCGGATCATTTTTAACCAAAAAAAAGTTACGGACTGCAACTTTAAATACGCTTTAGAAAGTAGCACAGCTGCTTTGTTTCCGGGGTTTCCTGGGTAACGGCTACATTTCTGCTGTTTAGCGCCATCTGCTGTCAGAGAGTGAAAGTGCGCTTCTCATCCGTGCTTCTTTACATCAGAGAGCGCATGCATCTTGCATCTTGCATCTTGCATGCGTGTTGTGACCAGTTGATGGGAAAAATATTAGGGATGCACGATGGACTGATATCGGAATCAGCCGATAATGGCTTTAGAGGAATACGTTAACTCGCATGTGCTCAGGGTGTGCTAGTGATTAGATCACGTCAGCAGTGTGGCACAGGAGAGACTTGTTGTTTCCAAACAAAAGGAAATATATCGGTATCGGCCAAAATGAGTTGGAAAATATCGGATATCGGCAAAAATCCAATATCGTGCATCCCTAAAAAATATTCTTAAAATGCATTCAAAAAATCTGAATAATTTGTAATTATTATTCACAGTATTTTGAAGTGCCTACTATAACAATATCGTGCATATTCATTACCGTGATATATTGCATATATTGTCTACTCATTACGCATGCATTCGTGTGTTCATGAACACGTTTGTGTGATGCGCAGGTGGAGCGGGCGTTCGACTACCTCATGCAGCATGCGTCGCTGCCCACCAGCAGCCTCGGCTTCACCGTGACCGTGGGATCGCAGCGAGGCATCTACCTCAGGGGCCCGACACAGGTCACCGGCCCGTCCGATCACGGGGTCGGCATCGAGCCTGTGTTTCCAGAGAACACAGGTACATGCTACAGTTCATAGTGGAGCTGAATGCCGTGGAGAATATGTTTACAGATCTCTCAGAGTTTGAGATTAATCAGGATGATGCCAGAACAAGGGTGCAGTTAATTACTGTTCATTATTTGACCTTTTTAACCTGGACTGATTTTGAACAAAGAGCTCCTATAAATCATGTCATGTATACCAGGGTTCTAATCGTTACTTTCATTTAAATAAACATTAACTGAAAAAAATTAACATACTGAGATAAAATGAAATGGAAAAAAACCTTTTAGGTAGTTGCCAAGGTGTTTAGTTTAAGATGAAGTACTTGAATATCTAAATAAACTAAAAGTAAAACTTCATAAAAATATGTAGACATATTAAAAAAGATCATATAAATGGCAAAAACGCACAACAAAATTAAAACTTTAAATGAAATTAAAATTAAAACAGAAAATGTAAAAACAATCAAAATATCAAAAACTATGATCGTGTGTTTCTGTTACTAGAATAACTCAATTTATTATGATAGAGTTTGTTAACATGTTGCAAAACTAATGATGCGATATTCTAATAATCATAAAAATATGCAGTATACACCAGTATTGAGTACAATAGTCCGTTTTTGATTAGATTGAACTCTTTGGTTTAAAAGATAAAAGTTTTTATATTTTTGATAAGTCTCTTCTGCTCACCGAGGCTGCATTTATTTGATCAAAAATACTGTAAAACAGTGAAGTATTACAATTTAATATAACGGTTTTCTATGTGAATGTGTTAAACTGTAATGTATTTCTGTGATGCGCAGCTGTATTTTCAGCATCATTCCTCCAGTCTTCAGTGTCACATGATCTTCAGAAATCAGTATAATATGCTGATCTGCTGCTCGAGAAACATTTCTGATTATTATCAATGTTGAAAATAGTCGTGCTGCACAATATTTCTGTGGAAACTGTGACGCATTTTATTTTTCTGGATTCACAGATGAATAAAAAGTTCAGAAGAACAGCATTTATTTGAAATTGGAATCTTTTGTAACATTATAAATGTCTTAACTGGCACTTTTAAGCAATTTAATGTGTCCTTGATGAATAAAAATACACATTTCTTTAAAAACAAACAGTTTCTACCCAATGTTTTCTCTCCAGAGAACTCGGCCCGTATCTCGCTGCAGCTGCATCTGGCTCTCGTCTGCAACGCTGCCTGGGTTCACTGTCCGTCGCACCTGGAGCTCATGAATCAGTGCCGGCACGTCAACGTTCGCATCGACCCGCAGGGCCTGCGAGAGGGGCTGCACTACACCGAGGCACGTCCGCAGATCCATCTACGCCAGGGTGCCCAAACTCGGTCCTGGAGGGCCCGTGTCCTGCAGAGTTTAGCTCCAACTTGCCACAACACACCTGCCTTCAAGTTTCTAGTATGCCTATTAAGAGCTTGATTAGCTGGTTCAGGTGTGTTTAATTGAGGTTGGAGCTAAACTCTTCAGGACACCGGCCCTCTAGGACCGAGTTTGGGCACCCCTGATCTACGCTTACACTATTTGACTGTCCTCAACTCTTAACGACAATGAAGAACTAGGGCTGGGCGATTTTTTTCGATTTTAGCGATTAATTGGGTTGGTTTGAGAAAGCCCAACCTACTGATCTGCTACTTAAGCTTTTTATTCTTCTTCTTCTTAAGAGCTCCTATAAATCATGTCATGTATACCAGGGTTCTAATCGTTACTTTCATTTAAATAAACATTAACTGAAAAAAATTAACATACTGAGATAAAATGAAATGGAAAAAAACCTTTTAGGTAGTTGCCAAGGTGTTTAGTTTAAGATGAAGTACTTGAATATCTAAATAAACTAAAAGTAAAACTTCATAAAAATATGTAGACATATTAAAAAAGATCATATAAATGGCAAAAACGCACAACAAAATTAAAACTTTAAATGAAATTAAAATTAAAACAGAAAATGTAAAAACAATCAAAATATCAAAAACTATGATCGTGTGTTTCTGTTACTAGAATAACTCAATTTATTATGATAGAGTTTGTTAACATGTTGCAAAACTAATGATGCGATATTCTAATAATCATAAAAATATGCAGTATACACCAGTATTGAGTACAATAGTCCGTTTTTGATTAGATTGAACTCTTTGGTTTAAAAGATAAAAGTTTTTATATTTTTGATAAGTCTCTTCTGCTCACCGAGGCTGCATTTATTTGATCAAAAATACTGTAAAACAGTGAAGTATTACAATTTAATATAACGGTTTTCTATGTGAATGTGTTAAACTGTAATGTATTTCTGTGATGCGCAGCTGTATTTTCAGCATCATTCCTCCAGTCTTCAGTGTCACATGATCTTCAGAAATCAGTATAATATGCTGATCTGCTGCTCGAGAAACATTTCTGATTATTATCAATGTTGAAAATAGTCGTGCTGCACAATATTTCTGTGGAAACTGTGACGCATTTTATTTTTCTGGATTCACAGATGAATAAAAAGTTCAGAAGAACAGCATTTATTTGAAATTGGAATCTTTTGTAACATTATAAATGTCTTAACTGGCACTTTTAAGCAATTTAATGTGTCCTTGATGAATAAAAATACACATTTCTTTAAAAACAAACAGTTTCTACCCAATGTTTTCTCTCCAGAGAACTCGGCCCGTATCTCGCTGCAGCTGCATCTGGCTCTCGTCTGCAACGCTGCCTGGGTTCACTGTCCGTCGCACCTGGAGCTCATGAATCAGTGCCGGCACGTCAACGTTCGCATCGACCCGCAGGGCCTGCGAGAGGGGCTGCACTACACCGAGGCACGTCCGCAGATCCATCTACGCCAGGGTGCCCAAACTCGGTCCTGGAGGGCCCGTGTCCTGCAGAGTTTAGCTCCAACTTGCCACAACACACCTGCCTTCAAGTTTCTAGTATGCCTATTAATAGCTTGATTAGCTGGTTCAGGTGTGTTTAATTGAGGTTGGAGCTAAACTCTTCAGGACACCGGCCCTCTAGGACCGAGTTTGGGCACCCCTGATCTACGCTCACACTATTTGACTGTCCTCAACTCCTAACGACGATGAAGAACTAGGGCTGGGCGATTTGTCCGATTTTAGCGATTAATTGGGTTGGCTTGAGAAAGCCCAACCTACTGATCTGCTACTTAAGCTTTTCATTCTTCTTCTTAGACTAAATTTCTGAACGCTACTCCTCCTAGAGCTTTCAAGCTAGAACCACCAATCTCAGCCCTGCTCTTCAGACTGATCTGACTTGGTGTGCTATATCTTTTCAGACTGATCCAACTTATGAGATTTACATTTTTTGCCATATCGCCCAGCCCTATGATGAACATTTGTGTGTGTACAGTACGTAGTGTGTGTGTGTGTGTGTGTGTACAGTACGTAGTGTGTGTGTGTGTGTGTGTGTACAGTACGTAGTGTGTGTGTGTGTGTGTGTGTACAGTACGTAGTGTGTGTGTGTGTGTGTGTGTACAGTACGTAGTGTGTGTGTGTGTGTGTGTGTACAGTACGTAGTGTGTGTGTGTGTGTACAGTACGTAGTGTGTGTGTGTGTGTACAGTACGTAGTGTGTGTGTGTGTGTACAGTACGTAGTGTGTGTGTGTGTGTGTGTGTGTAGTACGTAGTGTGTGTGTGTGTACAGTACGTAGTGTGTGTGTGTGTACAGTACGTAGTGTGTGTGTGTGTACAGTACGTAGTGTGTGTGTGTGTGTACAGTACGTAGTGTGTGTGTGTGTGTACAGTACGTAGTGTGTGTGTGTGTACAGTACGTTTTGTGCGTGTGTGTGTGTGTACAGTACGTTTTGTGCGTGTGTGTGTGTACAGTACGTTTTGTGCGTGTGTGTGTGTGTACAGTACGTTTTGTGCGTGTGTGTGTGTGTACTGTTT